TGCTCAGTTTTTAGCAGCCGTGAAAGCAGCCTGATCACATTAACACTGAGAACCGTAGTTGCTGTGTTTGCTTCGTTAGACTCATTCACAGCAGACTTTCCTCCATCAACCTTGATTTTCCTGAGCCACCTTTTGCGCCGGCCCCTCCAGGACCTGTGCGTTCTGTTTAAAAGCTCTCAGATAAACACAGCCGCCTCGGTGCCCTCAGACAGCGGGGCGGCTTCCAGACAACAGCGCTCGGTGTGTTTGAGCGAGAGCGGCCCGCACTGTGGGAGCTGTTGTAATTTGACTTGTAACAGCCGGGAGACTTGGGACTTGGAGACAGCGCCTCCACGCAGCAGCAGCACTCAGCAGTTTGGCTTCGATTCAGGCAAATCTAATTGGTCGCCATGGTTACAAGCTGTCTGAATACAGTGCCACCGTCTCCCAATATAACGCGGAGTGAGTGAGAGCTGAGAACGAAGCTAGCGGTCCGTTTCACAGTCCGGCAGCCTGCATATCCTGCCTCCGTCCGTCAGGTGTGAAGATTTAGATTCCAGTTCAGTTTAGAGAAGCTGAAGCTTTAATGATTTAGACAGAGTTGATCTAAAACATGTCGCATCACATGATACACTTCACTACGTCAACGGGCTCGCTTTGTCCTCACCTCAACCCTGAAGCAAAACACTGTTGTCAAAGATAATGAGGCAACCCCGACATCCCCAGAGAGCGTCTTAGGGGAGAAGCCGGCGTTCCCCCGGCAGATTTCCTGATTAGTTTGTCTCTCCGTAGGCTCCCACAACAAGGAGCCGGCGGCCACCTTCTGCGACGCCAAGCAGGGGAGGCAGATCTACGCCTCCTCAGCAGCCGAGGAGAGGAGGGAGTCCGCCGAGGAGGGAGAGGACGAGGAGGACGAGGAGGAGGAGGAAGGCAGGGAGGAGGAAGAGGAGCAGAGGCCCTTGTGTTCTGGTGTGCTGGGCTACCCGGTGGTTAGGGACCACACTCTGGGCCTCGGGCTGAGCGGCGCACCGGACGCACCAGCTGAAGACAACACGCAGAACCAGGAGTATAAAGGTGACAGAAGCATGCAGTTGGTTTATTTATTTCTTCATCTTTTTATTTCTTTATTTTTGGCTTGAACAGCTTGAGAAGCCGTTTTTTCTCCTGTCATTTAGTTTATTGTGCTTCCTGAACAGATTTGTCTCTGCTCCTCCCCATCATCACAAGACAACCGGTTTACAACAAACTAAATAAAACAGAAGTGACAGCATAAATCACACCTAGAATTAAGTCATCATTGTAAATTTCCTTGTAAATCCAAAGCTGCCCCTTTAAAGTTTTACTCCAGAATGGTAATTGGCTCAGAAGTTAATTTAGAAGAACTCAAAAAAATCCTTAAGCCCAAAAGGAGGAATGTCACACCTAATAAAAACCCAAACGAGGATTATGTGTCATTATGGCAAAGCCCAAAACCCGCTCAGTAATAAAATGTAAGAGGATTATATCCAACGACTGTCTCTGGGTCACAAGTTTTGATCACAGGTCAAGACCGAACTGAAGGATTCACTTGAAACATGAGGTGAGATCATGTTGACTCCACTGCTGTGACTCCGTACAGCCGTTCAGACTCAGCATGCTAAGCTGCTGCTCCCACGGCAACGGCAGCAGGCTCCACTCAACAGCTTCCACACAAAGAGCTGCGAGTGGGATTTGGGGAGAAATCCTCACTTTTACTGCTGCATGTAGAGCAAACACACCAGTGAGCAGTTCGACCTCACACGGCCTCCTGTCTGGAAAAGTACCGTCACCTTAAATCCCCCATAAATCATTCACAGCACCCACAGTAACCTCTGGTGTAGGACTCCCCTGTGTTTCTGCTGCCAGCGTGCCTCGGTGCTGAGGCGGGGAGGCTCCGGCAGCATGTTGATTCGATAGTAATATCTCATAATTCAGCTGTTACAGCCGTAAGAGGATTTGTGCCAAAGCAGAGATCAGAGTGATATTGATTCCTATAAACAGCTCGGCGAGCGCAACATACAGGAAATGCCAATTTAATATCCAGCCATCGCTCTCAGAAACCTTAAAGGAGAGGGAGAAAAACCCACTGAGGGTGTGATTGCCAGCCAGGGTCAGTCATCTGCTTCCCCCAGTAGGATAGTGGCTGGGATTCAGGAGGTGGTGAGCTGGTCAGAGCGCAGTAGAGCTAAATGATGCTTCCCCTGAGCCTCTGTTCTAACAGCACACATCATGTGTGTTCACGCTGTCACGTCTCGCCCTCCAGAGCTCCGTGTGGACGAGTGGGTGCATCAGCGGCCCGGCGACGGCGTGGAGGAGTCGGCCCAGTGTCAGGAGACGCCAGCCGGGGAGGAGGACAGCGACACAGATCTCACCTACGGGGAGGTGGAGCAACGGCTGGACCTGCTGCAGCAACACTTGAACAGGTGAGCGGGGGCAGGAGGGCAGGAGGGCAGGAAGGCTCTGAAGCAGCATGTTGGTCACGTCAGGCCAGAGCAAACGCTGGACATCACAAACTACTTTCACTACAAGTTAGAAACACTCAGAGACACATCTGCCCAGGTGTAGCTGCTCCTCCTTTCTACCCCACGTCCCAATCAGTCTGTTCACTTGGATTGTGGGTAATTTGTTGGGTTTCAACCCTCTGAACCTCAGGCTGATCCTTTCTAGCTCCTGTAGCCTGTTTTTCCTCTGTGTGGGTTCTTTTTTTTTTTTACTGCTCCTCTGTGGAAACACATCCATGAATAAAAGTAGAGAAGACTCAGAAGTGACTGATGTGCTGTATGACACGGTGATATCGCTAAATCATGTCTAATATCTTTCATTTATTTTAGAAATAAATAAAAAATCATGTGGAATCCACACAAACACAACTCCATACTGAGGATATCTTACACGTTTAAAATGAAGCAGTTCTGATTAAATAGAAGGATTTTAATCTTAGATTTGGTTCATTTTCCACATAGAGCAGCAGGATTAGTTCAGTGACTGTTGAATGGCCAGTGTGTCTTTCTAGTTTAACTTTGTGGTTCTGATAAGTAGTGTAATGTTGACTCCTTCTAGAGAACAGTCCTGTGTCGGGTTTTCTGCTTCGATATTTAGCTAAAGTATTTTTCAGGAGCTATGTAACTGAAACGCTCTTTAAATAATTTTCAATATCAAATATATGCTAAATTTACTGAAAATTAATATACACAGTATTTTTAGACTTTACACAAACTAAATGTTTTCTTTTTGGACTCACGGTTTTTGACCTGTGCAGAACTGAAGACGCCTTTGGGATCATGTTGGGTTGTTTTCAGTAACAGGATTTTTATTCTACATCAACTTGTTTCACAGTTTACTGTACATACTTCTGCCTGTAATTGGCTGGAAACTCACAGAAGCGTATGTGTCCAGACGCCGGCTGCAGCAGGTTTGTGCAGCGAGCGGAGCATGTGAGCAGCTCGTGTGATTCTCGGCTGGTGCACTGATACAAATGAGGGGGAGGCAGACAGTCAGCAGCTGTCTATTTATAGCCACAGCCACGAGCTGCAGACACATGGCTAAGACTTGACGTCATCCTGTGAGCTTTAGATGCTGGATGTCACGGTGAAGTTGCACATTTTTGGAATAAATGGGTTTTTTATTCAAAAATGTTCCCGACTTAGTGCTCAGATGAAACAATGTGTTTGAGTTTCTTCAGGAATCTGCTCATTGGGTGAGTATTAGCCTCCCAGTAGAAATTCTGGTGAGTCTCCTCACAGCTGGCCATCATTCGGCCGTTTATATTGGGCCGGGCGACTATTTATCTAACGCAGCAGGCACGGCCGCCCCTCCACCAGCACTCACTTCACACAAGCAGGCCGGAGCCACGGCGTTTATTTGCACTTATTGTCCTCGAAGGAGCAAAAGTGGCTCCTGGCAAAGTGACAAGACGGCGTTTAAGTCTACTCCAGAAAGTCGCTGCTCGCTCTGTGCACCGGTTCTGGTTCTTTTGTAGTGAAGGACTGAAAAAAAAAAAGAAAACCGAGGAGCAGAAGAAAAGGTGATTCACCACCTCAGACTCTCTGTGCCGTGATGTAACTTGCTGCATTGGCTGATGACACACGGCTCAGGTGTTCTGGAGTTTGGCCAGACAGAAAGTTTGCAGCCAGTCGGTTCATTTTTACCTGTTTGGATCCATTTGATGAAGAATCACAGAATGTCTGCAGTCATTGCTGTGTGGTATTATTTAACACGTGGTGGAGCTAAACAAGATTTATACACCGTCAGCTATTCATTCAGGCGTTCATCCCGGTGGTGGCAGACTGACAGTAAGAACACCAGCATTCATGCCCATATCACGTTCTGATTGATTGTGACTGTTTGATCAGGAGGTTCCTTCTGGCTGGAAATGACAGAAGAACATTTTTTAACGTTCTAGTTAATAATCCCATGTTTAGAATTGTTCATACTCTCTCTCACTAATTAATGTCAAAGTCTTCATGAGCCACCACATCAATCAAACATCGATTTTTATAATTGCTGACCAGCTTTCTGTGTGTCCACTGGGATTCTGGACCGCTGCTGATCTGATGATCTTTGAGGTTTGCGTGCCGTCGCTCCGTCCTCGATGGGATTCAGGATCCAGCATGTTGTTTTCTGAGAGGTTTCTACCACATTTTAATAATTGTTCAATAATTTTGGAAATTGGCAGTTTAAGGGGGAAAAAAAATAAAAAAAAATCTTCTGGCTGGAAATAGGACACGTCAGGTGAAATTTCACTCGATGTGTAAATCTGGACTGTTGGTAGATTTTTATCTTTGTGCTGCTTCTACCTTCTACTTTACTATATAATTCCACTGTGTTGCTGATGGAAGTGTTGCTCTGCATTTATTCTACTTTGCACACTCGAAACACGTGAATATCTGGAGCAGAATGAATCAAAATGAAACAACACAAAGTAATATTCATATGACTGGTCCACTAATTTAATGCTGCTGGTGTCTGACTGCACCACGATGAATTCTGATGCATGCAAAGTACTTTTTACTAAAAACTAAATGCAGAACATTTAACTTGTGAGTATTTTATTTTTTGAATGTGATCCTGATGCTGCTGTAAGAACTTGAATCCAGTCCTCCTCCTGTCAAGTGTCAGAATGTTCTGTCTTCGCAGCAGATCTGCATTTCAGAAGCACTCGGCCACTAGAACACTCTGCACCGGCCAATGTGTAGGCGGTTGTAAGTTTTAAGTCTCCCTCTAGTGTTTCATGTTAGCATCAGCACCTATCTACTGGAATGACAGCAGCACTTGAGCAGAGGAAATGCTTTTTAGAAATTCATCTGTGCTTTCATGCACTGAAAAGTCTGTTCATCCAGGATTTCATTATCTGGATTCCATATAAGTCACCCACTTAATTCCCCCACTTTGGAATTAACAAAGGCTTATTGTACCGTAAAGCTTTTGTACATGAAGATAAGATCAAATTACTGATTGAGAGTAGTTGACTGCTGCTGCAGCATAAATGCAGCACCGTCAGTTTAACATAAGCTCTGAAGAGAGGTAAACAAAATCCCAGCACATCGCCTCACACTGAGGAGACGATGATATCACGGCTCAGGGGCTGACCGGAGCCTTTTCATCATCTCTTGGGACCATCAGCATCTTTTAGGCTTTCAGCTGCCAGTAATCCCAACCAGAGACTTATCTTAACTCAACACCTGTCCTCCAGTCAGGCTCTGGATTGATGTGACAGCCTTTATTCATTACTCTTCTTAGAACTCACTTTAGTTATGATTTCTCTGTTTACTTGCCTGTTTTAGTCCATTTAATGTTCAGTTCATTATCTAATGTTATCATGTATTTATTTTATTTATTTGCTGTATCTATCTCTATTGTAATAATAGATATTTTAGTTCATTTGTTTTATTTATCCTTTATTTTATTTCTTTTTTTTTGTCATCTGCTGTCACATGTTATTTAGGGCAGCGTTTCCTCAGTTCTCCAATCCCAGCGTTGTCCTTTATTAGTGATGGGTGCATTTCTGATTTCTGTGGTCTGTAATTGTGCTGCTATTCTGTTTGTATGAACAGTGCCATATAAATAACATCTGCTGCTGCTGTAGCTCAACTGGTTGAGCTGGCCACTCATGTAGAGGAGCTGTAGTTTGTGATACAGCAGCTGTGGGTTCAAATCCCACTCATGGCCATTTGCTGCAGGTCCCTCCCACATCTGATTAACTTTTTTAAAGAACAATCAGCTTAAAGACTCATTTTGACTTTTGCTTGATGTCAGCAAACGACGTGCGACCACTCGTCATGTTGGTTGTTCGTGTTCTTCTATGTTCTGTCCATCAGACTGGAGTCCCAGATGACCGCAGACATCCAGGCCATCCTGCAGCTCCTTCAGCGGCAGACCACAGCCGGCCCGCCCGCCTACAGCACGGTCACCTCCAGCCCCGACTACCAGAGGCCAGCCATCCGGCTCCAGCCGCTGTCTGCCCTCCAGACGGACCTGAGCCTGGGCCCTGCTCCGCCCCGGCCCCAGGTACGCCAACGCTCCACCAGCACAACAGCCCATGTTCCTGCTCCTTCTGAACAGCTCACACAGCTGGCCACGGCGTTAGCTTTGGCTCAGGTTTTATGATACGACTTGACACAAACTGAAATCATCTGTTTTGAATTACATCATGCTTTAATGTAGGTTCACATGTTTCAGAGTTGAACACATTAATCTGTTTAATGAAACAGATTCAGTTCGATGATCAGTCACTAGTTAGATCATTCAGTCTTTTCAAATGTGTGGATTTTAAGCTCGGCTAAATCAGTCAGACAAGAATGAATCTATCAGCTCAGTTTCTGAAACAGTTAATATACGACTAAACTTTGTAACCTGTTGTAAATGAACAATGAAGAAAATGAGATTAATCACCAGTGAAAACAATCATTAGATGCGTCCCGTACATATTTAATGGAGCTTTAATCGTAGTTTCTGCTAATGATGCTCATTAAACATGCTGTCAGACGAATCCTCATCAAACCTTCAGAGTGACGATGAAATGAGAACCATCTGAAATGACTTCATAGTAAATCCTGCCTTTAGTGCCATTTAGTGCAAAAGTACCCAGAGTTAGTCTGAAGCTTCAGCAGATACCTTCCAAAGCTTCTGGTGCAAAGCTTCCTGTTGGTGCTGCCGTCTCTGAACACTGCAGGGAAGCACTGTGGAGTATAAACACTGGATTTGAGGCTGTTGTGAATAAACACAACAACACATTCCTTCACAGAACTATTGTGGATTTTGTTCTCTGTCAATCTGCAGGACAGGAAGGAGGACATCCAGTAAAACATGTTCTCTGTCTGGGCTCATGTTCTCAGACGGACTTTTAGAAAATGTGACTCTGGTGTTTATATGCTGGGAAACATATCATGAGTGAAACAAGCAGCCAGCATCATCCTGAGTGTTTCCACTTTGAAGCTGTGTCCCTGTGAGCCTTTGTGGGTCTGATGTTGGGAAGGCTTGGCTGAGAAGCTTGAGCTTGGGTGTGTGACACAATGGGTTTTTTTTTTTCCCCCTAAGTCCAAAAGAGGCAAAAGAAGATGCCAAAGAAAGTCAGACAGTAGTAACTGAATGAATAGCTCAGTGAGTAAGAGGAGAGGCTGGGAGTGTGGAAGTAGTAGGTTCGAGTCCCGTCAGTAGACTTTATTTCTACTGACAAATAAATAAAATAACTCTAAAGTTGGGGAGACGCTGGTCTCGAACCCATAACCAGCTGCTCCAGAGGCAGCTTCTTATTCTACTGTGCTACCGAACAGGTTAAAAGAACATTTCGTCGTCTTCCCCTTGGCGTATTCAAAAGTGTTCCTAATAAAGTGGTCATGGAGGCGGAGTCGTTGAAGTTCAGGTGTGAGTCCATTATTGCTCCTAGATCTACATCTGGCCTACAGACAGCGTTCTCCAGCACTTTTATTGCGTTTCAACATTGAATCATCATCATTAGAATTTGGATTTTTGTTAATACGAAGAACTTTTTTGTACATTCTCTTGTAAGAAAGGCTTTCTGGGGCTGCTGCTATAGCTCACCTGGTTGAGCAGGTGACCTGTGTACAGGAGCTGTAGTCTCTGATGCAGCAGCCATGGGTTCAAATCCTGCTCATGGCCCTTTCTTGCAACCCCTTCCCTCATTCTTGTCTATGTAATGAAGGCCAAAATATAACTTTAAAAAAAAGACTTTTCTGTTGTTTGTGTTTCTTTGTGCAGGAAGTTGACTCTTCTTGTGTTTTGTTTGAAGTTTTTTACTGGAAAGGGACTTTTTTGTGATTTGATTTTGTTTTTGGCTGTAAAAATCACTCCTATTATTATTGTTATTGTTATTTTTGTTATTATTTGGCAGCCAATTGGAGTTTTGGTTTGGTTTCACAGTGCAGAGGGATTTTCTCCATATGAGACCTTTAAACATTGTGGCAGCCAAACACCCCTCTAACTCCGCCCCACTTGGTACAGTCTGGACCCCTCTTCTATCCATCCAGTTGGATTCTCCCACTTCCTGATTGCTCACCTGGTCTTCCACCTGGACTGCTTTTCATGGGAGCACATGGAGCAAACGTTTGGTGACTGCAGTGTGATCTCAGCTAAAGAGGCTGGATGTAAATGTGGAGATAAATGAGACTCAGGGTTCAGCTCTTCTGGTAACTTGTGAATGATTTCAGTGAGTTCAGTTTGTGTGTTTTACCTCACATGTCCTGTTGTTCAGCTGTTTCTTAACCAACTAGGTTTAGGTTTCACTCCATTTAATGTCAGTGTGTTTGCTCTCATCGAGCCCAAAGAAGTCTCAGATCTTCTCCAGTCTTTGAGTTTGACCTCATTGAGCTTCAGCTGAACAACAGAACATGTGAGGTGGACCAGGCTGGGTTCTGCTGAGTTCAGCTGCACACTGAGATCATCTACAAGTTCATCAAAGTCTCCTTTATCTACATGTTAAACTCTGTCCCTCATTGGTCGCAGCTTACCAAATGTCTTCATGTGCTGCTGTTCAGAGCGGTCCAGGTAGAAGTTGGAAGACGGTTCAGGAGAACCAGCAGGTTTCCCTGCTGGAGGGAAAATGTTCCGTCATGTTGCACTACATTAACTGTCCCTAATGTTTGTCTGCCCCATAAAAGCTGTTGATCAAGCAGCTTCAGAGGAGCTCTGCTGAATGTCACGTGTTTGGTGTCCTTCTGTGTCTCTACATGTGTTTAATGCTGCTGCTGTCACTGCCGGTCCACAAAGATTATTACATGAGTTCATAAAAGTGTGTGTTTTGGAGGGAAGTTTGATTTGATCCAATATTATGGAA